ATGTGCCCTGCAGCTCTCCCAATCTCGTGCCATGTCCCTGATCTGCATAGCCAGTGGCCTTTCCGCCTTCCTGGTCCAGAGTGGTAGTGTCTGCATCCAATCATCTCTCGATATGCCCTGCTCTTGCATGAACCACTCAAATGCGGGGATGAAGTCCGACGCATTTCCAATCTTCAGGCGGATCGGCCTGCCATCAGGTCCCACGGGCGAGGGTCGCAACTCCTCCATCCTTATCTCCACCTCCTGCCTCGTCGTCGCCTCCCTACGAATCCTGGCAATGGGCTCTTCGAACCTACCTGTTCCCCTCAATCTCTCAATCGCCTGAGTGACGGTCCAACCCATACGCTCATATGCTCCCAGAAACTGTCCAGGAATAGCTCGATGTCCCTATCATTGTAGACTGGAGTACTCTCTCGTTGGCGAGGCCCATGCCGCTCATATCCTCCTGATGCGCCCAACGGCCTCTGAGGCAGCCGTGTCCCCTTCCCTCCTTTTGGCATGACTGTCGTCGTAAAGTCAGACCTGCACAACAGGCAAAGGAGACAACAGACACACGTTGGGGTAAGCAAGCAGGTGACAATCAGAGCAAGCTCAGACCAGACCACACTTATGCAGCATGCATCCTTCCTAACCTACACACCCTGTTACTTCTATTCTAAAGGCGGTCAGGTCATCTCTCTTACCTCTTCTCTCGCTACAAATTTCTTCAGTCGCGTTCCAGATACCCAATCCTTCCACTCAATCTCATTTAACTCCTCGATCTGGTACGCTCCGAAGTCTCCGACCCGTGCAATTCGGTAGGGACCTAACCATCTCTTATCGAGCTTCCTGGACCGCTGCTTCTCCAGCGACGTATCGTAGAGAAGCACGACATCCCCGACTGCCAAGGGTACTTTCCTCACTCGCGCAGACTGATCCCATCGGGCCTTATCATCCATACGGCTTCTCGCCACCTGATCACATGCCTCCTGGATCCTTTCTTCTGTCGCCCCGACCTGCCGCGCCCGAATATCGAGCAATTCTTCAAATGACAGGTTCACTTCCAGATCTCGGCGCCTCCACGTCTTAAGAAAGCTTTTGATAGGGAAGGTGCCATGCCTTCCGTACCACAGCGTCGTAGGTGCGTACCAGGTGGATCTCTTTACTGTAATGTTCTCGACAAAGAAAGTCGCCCTTAGGTATCTTGGCCATTGATTAGGCCTACCTTCAGTCCATTTGGCCAGGAGGTTCGTAATGGTACTATGTCCTCTCTCTACGGGAGCATTTGCCTGGGGGTGCGCGGCCGTGGTGTAGTTGGCTGCCACACCATATCTTGCTAATAGTTCTTGCACCTCCTGGCAGGTAAACTCTAATCCCCTGTCCATTACGAATTCCCTGACGAAAGGATAACGCAGGTATTACTCCTCGATGCAGCTCACCAGGACTGACCCGGTCTTCGTGCGAATAGCTCGCCCGTCTACGAACCCAGACAGGTTATCGCGCGCATCGAAGATATAGTTATAGCCGTGATCCCTAAGTGGCATAAAAAGCAGATCGAGATGCACTACGGCCCCTACCTCTCGCTCTTACCTTGGATGCAGCGGCTCTCCCTGCCTTAAACGGGATCTCTCCTGGCAGGGTACGCAAGATCGACAAAATTTTCCAACCATGTCCATCATTCCATCCCAGTAGTACAGCTCACTTATCTTGGCATACGTGGCTTGTACCCCTCGATGCCCTCCTGCAATGCCATCGTGTAGTGCTGCTACGACGTCGATCTGACGATTCCTACCGCAGACGACCCTCCTGGGATTCCCCACTTCCCTTCTCACGAAAAGGTGACCGTCTCGCACTAAGTAGCGTTGCAGCATCCTTTGAGCCCTATCGCTCGCATCTCTAAGCCGCATTTCACATGACAGAAGAAGCCCCAGCTCTAGGTAGATCCCATCGTACTCCTCTGCACGAAAAGCCTTCTTAATTTCCCCTTCTTCGAACTCGTCGTCCTCGCTTTCGGGTATTTCGTCCCTATTCTCTGCCGGGTTCAACGAACCTGACTGGTCTAGGCTTTCCTGCAATAACGTATTGACGAGGAGATACATTCCTCCCATCAGGTCCTCATGCCGTTCTACCTGGCCAGGTCCTTCCTCAATCGTCCTCATATCCTCCACCCGGCTATGCGAGCTGGCCAGCGCTAATTCCATCATCCACTGAACATCCTTACCGCCCCAGGGATCCTCTTCTTTAAAGGGCTTAAGGACTAACTCATTCCTCCTTTCATACCCCTTCAGCGCTTGCCAGATAGGATAGCCTACACAGCTAGGCACTCGCGGCGACCATTTGTTGATATGAAGACGAACATCTTCTTCCTGATCTAGAAATCCATCAACTGGGGGCGTATTCTCCACTGCCTCCCCTTCCTGCTTATCCCAGTTGATCCGACTCAGCCCGTCCGCCCGGGTTCTTACTACCAGGAATCCGTTCCAATTCGAAATTGAACATCCAGATGTACGTCAGCCATCTGGCAATCGTCGGATCCGATGGAACGTAATTCCTTAGAGAGTAGGCCAGGGCGGTCGGATCCACTCTCAAAATAAACCTCCTTCCAAAGATATAATTCCGGAAGATTCGAAGACAATGGAGGACAGCAAGGGTCTCCCTCTTGAACTGAGAGTAGTTTCTCTCCGTCGTACAGAGAGTCCGGCTCTCAAATCGCAAGGGTCTTTCCTTCCCTTCCATGTCTGCCTGAATTAGAACTCCCCCTAAGGCAGTCGGTCCCGCATCTGTCTCGACAATGAAGGGTCGCGTCTCTGTGGCGTCATAATCTGGCGCTCCTAACACCAACCCTCCTTCTCCAAATTCCTCCTTCATTTTTGCTACCACCTCTTCTTGTTCCTCACCCCATACCCTTTCCTGATCCTGACGGACTAACTTCCTCAGGTGTTCAGTCTTAGCGGCAAAGTTCTTGACGAAGGCCCTTCAAAATCCACACGTACCAAGGAAGCTCCTGACATAAATTATTGCGTGGAACGGAACTGGTCACTCAGTAATCTTGTCCGTCTTCTTCACATCCGGCCTGCGGCCCTTCTCATTGCAGACGATCCCCAAGATAGTCGCTTCCCTCATGCAATGTCTGGATTTGGCCCCGCTTGCCGTGAGGTTATGCTCTTCGAGCAGGCTCATGACCTTTTCGAGGTCCTGGATGTGTTTCCAGACAAAGCGCCTTACCCCTGGTGAGACTTCATCGCTCTCTTTCATCGCCGGCCCCTTTACTGCCAAATCGTCAATGTATGGCTGTGTGATATGGGGGCTGACTGACTGCATGGTCCGAATCATGGCTCGTTGGACCATTGCTACTGCGTTGGTCCACCCTTGTGGGGCCACGTTCATGTGGACTAATCCTCGCGGTGTGTGCATAGGTGTCACCCGCCTATCCGGCGGGTAGACTGGGAACTGATCGTATCCTGAGTAAAGGTGTATAAGCGAAATTATAGGCCTTCCAGCACAGGATTCTGACAGCGCATCTGCATTCGGCAGCCCTCCAGCATCTCGCACGGTCACTGCATTCAATCTTTGCAAATCCTGCACCTACCGCAGCGTCCCGTTAGGCTTAATAAAGCAGAACCACGGGGATGCATACGGTCCACTTGAATAGTCGGCGACGTGAGTACGTATCTTGCCGTCGAGATAATCCACCACCTTCCTCTCCTCGTCAGGATTGGGATACCGCGCCCCTCTCATGTTCCAAGGCTCGTGTGGCACGGTACGGATGCGGATCATAGGTATCTTATCTACATCCAGCCTGCCACGCTCCTCGTCACTAAATGCGTAGGCGCGATGCTTCCTCTTCATTAATTCCACCATCAGCATTCGCTCCTGAAGCAGCAGGAAATCAGACTCCCCTATGATCAACTCCTTCTCGTTCCCTTCGTTATTACGACATGGCCCTGCTAAAGCACTTTCCCTCATTTATCGAATCAACCCTCGCTCCCTCTCGTAATATGCTTCCTCGTCCTCTGTGACGGGGACGGGTACCGGGCATCATTTCTTATCTACCGTCTTGTACCGCCTTTGGGAACCCTGCTTGAGCCGTCCYCTAAAAAAGGCCGACTTACGGATTGTGTTTGCACTGATGCGGGGTTCCCTCCACTGCCTGGGAGCCGATATACCAATTTCAACCTTCCTGCCTCAGGGCATTCCAGAACTTGTTCCCTCAAGGCCTGGATGGCATCCGGATCTGTCATCTCATGCGCGACCACCAGGTCCATGGCTTTCCCAACATCTGACAGGCTGAGGGAAAATGCTTCCACCCCCTCTCCTGCTTCGGGCTCTGCCCAGAGCCTCCTGCGCTCCCCTTCCGACTCCTCGATTGTGAATGATCCTGGATTGGGCCGGTTCCTTATACTCCTTGGTCCGGTGTTCCTGCAAGTAATTATTTCATAATTTCCGCAGGCACGATCGCATAAGAGGAGGATCAACGTCCCATCATGTTTGTTGAACATCACGGTCTCTGTCCTGCTTAGGAATGACCTCCCCAGGAGGATTCCATGGTCCATGTCTGGCATTATGAAGAAGCATGCCCTGGCCTTCACCTTTCCAACCTCGACGAGCACATTCGAGGCTGTCCCGCAAAACATGGCCTTGCAGCTGGCTCCATGCAGAATACCGCAGTGAGAACGGTCTATACCCAACCCGAATCTGATTGCGTCGCCTCCCGAATAATGTTCATCTTTGCCCCGGTGTCCACCATTGTTGCGCACTTGGAACCCTTCACCATCAAATCCACCGTACCGCAGGCTACGCACTTCCAGTCCATCTTCGTACCTGATTCTGCCCACTCTGCCTCCTTGGGCAGGATCGTACCCAGATGGACATTGGGCACCAGGCGCCGTGATGACCTCCCCTTCAGTTCATCGCGGAGTCGCGGGGCTGACGCTAGGATTTCCTTCAGGGTCATGAGGTCATTATGCCCTTCCAGCAGCCGGTCAATCACCTTCTCTACATCGAATCCTTCTTCCAACCGGACCGCGTATTTCTTCTTTTTGGGCGGTCCGTCCTTTATGACCGGTTCGGCCTCTCCCCTGATCCCCTTTTTCCTTGCCCTCTGCTTCGCTCTCTGATCCTCTTCTCTGCGCAGCCTCTCATCCTCTTCCTCTTCGTCATCGTCGTCCTCTACTTCCACAGCCTCCTTCCTTCTCCCTGGTTCGTGTTCCCCCCTTGGAGGCTCTTGGCTGGTACTGGCCTTGGCTTGATTCCTCGTTCGCGCTGCCTGTGCCAGTCGGGCCTGCGGAGTGAGGGGTCTCCCCCTCATTCCTGGTTGAGGGCACGATCCTACCACATTTACTCYGGGTCGCCCAGGCGCTGACTCCGGGCCGGAGTCATAGAGGAATACTGTGGGGACATTAGACTTCCATCCTTTCACTCCTTTACAGAGGCCCACCAACTTCTGTTGGTACCTCCCCATCTTATCCAGCAAGTCCTTCATCTTCTTAAATAAGACGGACGGAGGCTGTGTTCTCTCCTCCTCCTCCTTGTCATCTGACTCGATGATTATGGCCTCTTCTGTCTCACTTCCTCCTCGTAGCCCTTGAGTCACTTCCTCATCACTTCCCACTCCTTCCATCCCAAACGGAGGTTCCTCCTTTTCCTGCCATAGCCTGAACATGGCAGGGGGCGGTGGTCCCATTGCCGCTCTTCATTTGGCTTCAGCCCTCACTCCTCCAAGCCTTCTGTCAATGGTCTCCCTAAATTGATCGTAGATATCCCCATCCATAGTAGAGGAAATCAACCCGCTTCTCTCGTCTTCCCATCTTATATTACAGAACCTTATAGTGTAGCCTTGCTGGTCACAATGTTGACAGATGGTCGTCCTCCAGTCAAAGCGGGGTCTTCCATACCCCTTACTTCCCTGATCCCCCTGGCCTTGATACCCCTTGCCTTGATAGCCCTGGTCTTGGTACCCCTGGCCCTGACTCCCTTGGCCTTCGTACCCCTGGCCTTGACTCCCTTGGCCTTGGTACCCCTGGTCTTGACTCCCTTGGCCTTGGTACCCCTGGCCTTGGCCATTCCATTGCCTTCCTCTTCCGCCGCCATTCCTGCCTCGCTCCTTTCCTCCACCCCTCCCTCCATTGCCTTGATTGCCCTGTCCCTGGTTTCCACCCCCTACAACACTGCCCTGTGAACTGGGATCAGGTGACGGTGGCGGGGCCACAGGTTGGGCCTGGGCCGCGGGGTAGATGGGTGG